TTATGACTAACCAAGAAGAAGGCACACAGAGTCACAAGCATCTGTCTTTTTCCTCTCCCTCTTCCCCAGCAACTCTCCTCCCAAGGCAATACCAAAACAGGCACAGGGGAAAGGGAAGAAATAAGAAGAGATGTATGAAAGGCTACCATACACATCCCCAAACTCCTAGCCACTAGAGCCATATGTCCCATCTGTTTGAAGAAAAAGGAAGAGAAGTATTTGCATCAGATAGGGGCTTGGAGTACGCAAGCCAAAGCTTTAAAATCAGCATGAGACTCTCCTAATATCTGAAAGCAGCTAAAAAGTTATAGAATCAGATTGAAATGTTTATCATTGTCCTAATCTCCCAGTGGAAGAGGGTAAATACAACAGAACACAGTAAAAAGCAATTAGTGGAAAAACAATACCATTTCAATTTCATACTCCAATGAGTTGAAACACTTAATGAACCAGTTAAATTTATTAGCTTGGTTGTCTTTGCCTACTCCTTGCCCACTAGAATGTAAACTTCATGAGGGCAGCCACTTAGTCACTAACTGTTTTATTCTCAGCACCTAGCATAGAGCCTGACACATAACTAATTAATAAATATTTTAATGAATAAAAGAACAAAATCTATGTAGATAACATCCTATAAAATGTTCAAATAATGCAAATGAGTGGAAACTTTTGGTGTTTTTTCAAGTTACTCATTTGTTTGAAATAGAATATCTCTTGTCTAACATGGGATTATCCAAATCTGAGAGGTACCATATTTCCTGCTGTCATAAACACTGTTGATGCCCTGTCCATGTCTTCTTTGGCCCATTCTAATAGTCATCTGCAGAAGTCTTTCTATGTTTCTCTGCCAGAGGGGCTTCTTTAACTGCAAAAGCAGCTTGACCAGTATAGGAGACGACTAGAAGTGCCAGGTTGTTAATATTCACTAAATGATTCTCAATCAATTGTGAAAGTTGGTGAATAAATACCCTAGCTCCCTCACCCTTTGGTATGTTCCAGTAGTATTGAGTGGCAACCTGCTTATTTGCTTTACCTCCCTTCCAGTCTGACTTTGCCACTTCTTTGCAGTACTTCCTGGGATCACCTCCCAAATAAACTACCTACATCCAAATCCTTAGAGTTCTGCTTTTTGGAGACCCCAAACCAAGACTGAAGAGACTATTAAGTACTCCACAGGATTCTTTGTTTTCCATAGACCTTATCTGTCAGATCTCCAGATGATTATGTAGGCTCTGGACTTTCAAAGGAAGGTTTATGATTCAAAATTTTCTTGAACCACGTGCCCATTCTAGCTCTGTCTTACCTCTCAATTTAGAACTTATATAAACCCAGTGACTTTGTTGAGAACATTGGCTCATCTCTGCTATAGCACTTCCTGCTACATGTATTCACTTAGTTACCAACTCAACCATACTGGTTAGATTTTAGGAATCTGCCAAGCTCTCCTTACCCTAAATCTATTTTATCCATGATTGTACCTTCATGATTTCTGTCTGAAAGCTGACAGTGTGTAGGGACCATAACTTGCTAAAATCGAATATCATTTTTAGAATTCTGATATTTTATAAATGGTGGCAAAAAAAAAAAAAAAAGATGATTTGAGAAAGCCCTTAGAAACTCTGTTTGCCCAGTGGACATTATGTGATCATAATCACCAAAAACATGAACTATATTTTATAACTGATATTCAGAGATATTATATGTGGAAAATAACTGATGCAGACATATTTCTACTTCCCTATTTAATTCACCCCTCCCTATTCTTTGTGAAATAAAATAGTTAATGTTTGACTTTGACTAGGGAAATAATCATTGAAACTGTATAAGTTAATTACAGAATTATTTCATATGCTACTTTTCCTGTCAGTTAAAATCAGTCAGAATTAGAAAAACTGAGCATATAAAGTTTTTAAGTCCATATATTTACCAATCCCATTTCCACAGAAGAGTCAATTAATTTAACAAACTTTGCTGAACAATTATTATACTTTATGATAATAATTATAATTTATTGAGCACTTTGTGTGGGCCAGACATTGTGCTAAACTGTTATGTCTTTTTATCCTCTCAACATTCTTATGAGTTATTATTATCTCCATTTTACTTTTCAGGAAACTGACATTTGTGACTTACCCAAGGTCATGACATTAATAAATTATGAAAAAAGGATTTGAATGTAGGTCTGTGTGACTACAAACCCCAATCTCTTAACCACTACTGAATAATTTTTGCCCTAGAAGTTAGATGCTATGGAGTCATAAACCAAGTCTAAGATTATAAAATGTAGCTTCTTGTCTTCAAGGAACTATAACATCACTGTGAAGATACATGCATAGCAGAGTACTTAGTCAAGTGCAAGACAATGAAGAGTAACCTATATTTGTTAAGTGCTAAGGGAATACCGAATAAAATAAGTGATTTTTTAGCATGTTCAGTAGGTGATTCAGATTTCCCGTTGAAAGGGAAAATCTGTCAAATTGCCTCAATTCAAATAGTCAAAGATAAAGGCCAGTGTAATCAATCTCCTAGCAGTGTTCACCTATAACATCAGTAGGCCTGAAATATCATCACTGATCAAGGAATGTCTTACAACAGTGACCACTGGGCTCCCAACATACGGTTCCCACACATCTGTTTAAATAGTAAAAGTTTCAGAAGCAGCTCGAGTTACTCCTGGAAACCTTACACTGAAATTTAGGTTTATTACATTATAACTTTTTCCTCTTGGTAATTTTACAACCAACTTGCTGCTGTGTGAAGAAAGTGTACAGGAGGAGCATGTATAATACCTACTATGATGGCAATTATACTGTTATTCAATTATTTCCAAATTACTTTTTTTTCCTAAAAATCTTCCCCCCTGCCATGGCTATAAATAAGCAATGGTTCTTATTCCTGAAGTTCATATTCCCCTGAGAGCTTTGTGTTTACTGATTCCCTGGGGTTAGTATATAAAAATCCCAGAAGGCCACGTGATGAATTCTAAAGAATGAAGATTCTAAGACAATGGCTAATGAAAGCATTAGTATTCCTCTCATTGGAGTATCAAATCCTGATATGAGTAATGCCATATTCAAGAGAGAGTTTTAAAAATGTAATTGAACTAAATCTTTTGACAGATAATTGTAATGATGATGTTATGCTTCAATGACTTTCAAATACAGTTTGCAAATTACCTTTTTTACTTTATTCCCTTCCTCCCTTAAAGTACCAGATATGTCAGGTTTCTGGTTCATGCTAATTTTTAACAGTACCTATATGGCAAACTCTTGACTCTAGAAACCAACACACATTTAACTTATGGATATATTTGGACACAGTTAATAGACCCAATCTAAAATATCAGCTAGTTTCAAATGGCACACAATTATAATCATTTCTTGTTACATTTTTGCAATCAGAGAAAATTTTGGTATCTTCACAAAGTTTTCATATATGTGTGTGTATATATATGTATAAAATCATACACATATATACATATACACAGAGAAAGGCAGTTCTTTAGTCAACACACATTTATCTCTATCTCTTACATTTTATAATTCTATAGTAATTTGCAATGAAGTCTGGTATCCACATAGGGATGGCCCTGAGGTCCTATTGGCTCTTCAATCAGAAAACAGAGATTCAATAATGTTAACTAGATTCTATCTACTACAGAGAGAAAGTTGGCTCTCAAACTCAAATTTGGAAAGGACCTCAATAGTTACCTAGTCCAACTTTCAACCAATCAAGAAATTCTTTTTACAGCATTCCTATATCTAGCCTATTCTCAAGCACTTCTGTCATTTGAAAATAACTGCATAAAGTGGCAGCCAAGTCTGTTGTTAGCCCTAACAGTTAGAATCAGAGGTAGAAATAAAGAGATACAGACACTGAAACCAACATAGCCAAAGGCACACAAGTAAGAAAACAGGGATAGCAAAAGATAGAGTCAGATGGATAGGACACAGAAAGGTGAGTGGAAAAATTGTAGAGGAGAAAGAGAAAAAACGTGAAGAAGCAGAGAGAGAAAAAATTAGAAGTGGAGACACAAAAAGTTGACATAGCAAATGAGAGGAATAGATAAGAGGAATAGTGAGTGATGAACCACTGAGAGACAGCAGAAGGAGAAACAAGTATAAGGGAGAAACAGGTATACAAGGAGAAGCAAGTGTAAAGGAAAAAACCGGCATAAGTAACTATAGGGTTTCTTTCTGATTTCTGTAGTGATCACAGTCCCCAGTTTTGGGCTCAGGACATAGTCCACAAAAATGAAAATTTCATTTCACAGCCTCCCTTGTAGCTGGATATGGAAAGGTATTGAGTTCTGATCATTAAGATATAATCTTGAGTTCTGACCATAAAATCAAAAGTGTTATGTGTGACAGGGACTAGTCTTTTTCAGGGTTTCTCCAGCCAGGAAACCTAGAAGTAGTAGGTATAAGGTGTTACAAGCAGTTTAGACAAAAAGTCTTCAATCATACTCATTGATTAATGAGTCTTACTCATTTTTTGATGTGGTGTATAAATTCCTCATCATCTAACATTTTCTTCCATCAATAAAAGTATTTGTCAGTAGTCTTCTCAAAATTCATTCATATTCTGTTTATGACATTATAAATTAGGACAGCATTTTACAAGGCAATTTGATAGTATCTGGCAAAAATTAAAGTGCTCAAGAATTGCTTTTGTATGAATCTATACTACCGCAATACAAATGATTATGCATAAAAATATATGCACATACAAGGATGGTCAATGCAGTGTGCATTGTGATGGTGAAAATCTGATAACAGACTACATACCTTTTCATGGGTAGGGGTGATACATTCATACTATGGAATACTATACAACCATTAAAGAGACTGAGATAGAGAGGTATGGATAGACATGGGTAGATCTACAAGATATATGAAAAATAGATATGATTCCACATATAATGGAAAAATCTATGTATATATGCATGCTTAAGAATGTGTGTGTATATGTATGGAAATCAGTAGGAAAAGGTTTGGAAGTATGTGTGGCTAGGGAATTCATGTGGAGGTCAGAGTGGAAGCAGGTGTGAGAGGGTCCAGCAGAAGAAAACATGGCTGTCAAAGTGTTTGAGTCCATCGGCGAGTTTGGCCTGGCCTTAGTTGTTGTAGGAGGCATGCTGAACTCTGCCTTACATAATGTGGATACTGGTCACACAGCTGTCATCTTTGACCGATTCTGTGGAGTACAGGACATTGTGGTAGGGGAAGGGACTCACTTTCTTATCCCATGGGTACAGAAACCAATTACCTTTGACTGCTGTTCTAGACCACCTAACGTGCCAGTCATCACTGGTAGCAAAGACTTACAGAATGGCAACATCACACTGCGCATCCTCTTCCGGCCTGTCGCTAGCCAGCTTCCTTGCATCTTCACCAGCATCAGAGAGGACTATGATGAACGTGTGCTGCCATCCATCGTTACCAAGATCTTCAAGTCAGTATTGTCTGGCTTTGATGCTGGAGAACTAATCACCCACAGAGAGCTGCTCTCCAGGCAGGTGAGTGACAAGTTTACGGGGCCAGCAGCCACCTTTGGGCTCATCCTGGACGATGTGTCCTTGACACATCCAACCTTCCGGAAGGAGTTCACAGAAGCGGTGGAAGTCAAAGAAGGGGCTCCGCAGGAAGCAGAGAGGGCCAGATTTGTGGTGGAAAAGGCTGAGCAGCAGAAAATGGCAACCATCATCTCTGCTGAGGGTGACTCCATGGCAGCCGAGCTGATCCCCAACTCACTGGCCACCGCAGGGGACTGCCTGATCGAGCTGAGCAAGCTGGAAGCTGCGGAGGACATCGCATACCAGCTCTCATGCTCTGGGAACATCACCTACCTGCTTCCTCCAGCTGCCCCAGTGAGGGCCCACCCTGCCTGTACCTCTGTGGGGAATAGGCCACAGCCTTGATGATTCTTAACACCACCTTCCTTCTGCCCCTATCCCAGAAATCACTGTGAAATTTCATCATTGGCTTAAAGCGAAGGAAATAAAGGTAAAATCACTTTACATCTCTTAAAAAAAAAGTTTGGAATTTTTGACACTACTGTAATCCTTAGGAAGGGAGTGGATAAAGTCTGAGGTTGAAGGGTAATTTTCACTTTTTACTCAGTATAGTAATGGTAATCATTAACTCTGTTTTCAAAATACTTAGACTTCTTTGCCTTCAGTCACATGATATGACTGCATTTCCTGGCCCCATTGTGATTGATAGAGTCATGTGTATGGTTCTGGCCAATTATTTGTGACCAGAAGTCATTGCTCACAGTTGCATGTCACTTCCAGGCCAGAGCATTTATTTGTCAATGTGATGCCTTCCACAGCTATCTTTCCCTCTGCCATAGTGACTGGTAATATTTATGATGGTGGTTGCTCCATTACCCTGGGCTGCAGAATGAAAAGTCACAGAGCAGAGCTTCTAGCCAACACAATACATAGGCGAAAAATAAAACTTTGCTTTTACAAACCACCAAGATTTGGGGATTATTACAATAGCATAATCTAAATTATTCTGACTGGTACCATTGAAATGTTTAAATTTTAAATTAAATAGTATACTTTCTGCATATATTGTAAAATTAATGATGCCTACAACAGCATACAACATTCTCTACATAGAAAATACAAAGTGCAGTGAGCCTATTATGTACCATGATCTAGATTCAATAACATCATTAAAATGTAACCATTTCAAGGGCAGAGGCTATGTTTTTTTTTTTTTTTTTTTTTTTTTTTTTTTTTTTTTTTTGCATCCCCAGCACCATTGATTAGAACACAGTAGGTATGCAGTCCATTCTTCTTGATTATTAAATGGATTTTAAAATGTTTATCCTAAACCTATAGATTTATATTAATCCCTATGAAATGTCATTATGTTGGTTTTATTGTATTATTCCAAATCATGAAGACCATTTCAAAGCATAAGGCTTTTATTCATTTTATTAACTCTCCCACCTACTTTTGTGTCATCTGAATATTTCATAAGCTTGCTTTCTCTGCCTTCAATCAAGTCAATAATTTTTAAAATTCCAAATAAGATATGGCACGTAACAGAGATCTGTGGCTTACCACCATAGATCTTTCTAAATTTCAGCATTAATACATTAATCTGGTTGACCAATTTGGTATGAATCATTTCACTATACTAAAATCCATTTAACTAGACCGTATTGGCACATCTTGTCATGAGAGATCATGCATGTGATAGACTAGGCTTTCATAGTGATATATCATTCTAACAGTTTTACCAAAGGAAAATAACAACTTTATTTAGTCTGATTTGCCCCTAAGATCAATTAATTTATTTATTCAATAAATTTAATGTATGCCTATGATGGAAATACAATGGGAACATGATAGGTATGGTATCTACTTTTTGTGTGATCACAGTCTAATAGAAAAAAAAAACACAGACAACAACAATGAAGTACTTTAAATGTAGTAAGAGGAGAAATATGGAGTGTTTTGAAAGGAAAGAGAGAAGAAACCAAACTCATATTCATGAGAAAGACAAAGGTGTCTGGAGAAAGTGACTTCTAAGTTCAAACCTAGAGTGTGATAGGAAAGATTGTTCTAAAAAGAGGTAATAGCCTGGACAAAGGCCTGGAGCTGAGAGGGCATGGAATGTTCATTGAGGTAGAATGAGTTCAATATGGCAGAATCAAAGAGTGTTATTAATAGCCAGGAGGAATAGAGAGAGTTGACACTGGCAAGGTGATCTGGGGTTAAGATCATGTACAGATTGAGTTGCCTATAGTACATCTAAGAAGAGATGTTAGTGAAAAATTGAGGATACTAATAGAAGTTAAAGAAACAGAATTGGTATACATATTTTGTAGTCTTAAGCACAGAGATGGTATTAAATGTCACAGAAGTAGCTAAACTACCAAAAGATAGAGGCAAAATAAGAAGGTAGCAAAGGGTAAAGTACTGAGAATCACCAACATTTGAGTTGGGAAGGTTCAGAATAGCCTACAAAAGAGACTGAGAAAAAGTAACAAGAAAGGTACAAGGAAAACCAGGAGGAACACCAAGGGAATAGCATATTTCAAGAATGTCAGCTATGTTAAATGCTGGGTGATCCAGTGAGTCAAAGGCTCAAAAGTGTCCTTTATATTTAGCCAAGTAAAAAGGCTGTTAACCAAAAGAAAATTATCAGAAACAGATCAGTGGTGTAGCGGGGTTAGAATCACACCGTATAGACTGAAGAATAAACTGAAGGTAAGGAAGTAGAACACTGAATGGAGACAATACTCACAAAGATTAGCTGTGATAGGAAAGAGAGAGGTAGGGTAAGCATATAGAAGAAGGACAGAGAATAATTTTTTTAATTGATGTTTCCCTCGTGATTAGACTGAATTTACTGGTTTGGGGGAATACCATCAGACTTTTTTTTTTTCTTTAGTGAATAGGAGGGACTTGAACAAGCTCTAAATGATTAGGGAAAGGAGCCAGCAAAAGCGGAATGGTCGAAAAAAAAGAAAACACAGGGTTATTGTATGGAGTAAGAAAACTTTAAAAAAACAGATTTAAAAAAAGGTTTCTGGAGCTCAAGTGGAAGAATTTGACATACATGGGAGGATTTTCTGATCTTCAATTGAAAATGGGAGGAAGACAGAAATTACAGATGATGGTGCAGGTAAGTGTGTAGATCTTATGTTGGGAAGTTGTCATCTTGTGGCTTCTACATTCTCTGTGAAACAGCTGGCAAATTTATCTGTAAACAAGGGAGAGTTGGAGGTTTGAGGAGGCATATATCTTCTCAATAGTTAAGTAGTTCATTCTAGGATTTTTCTAGCACTGAATGTTAAGTTCACTGATTCAAGTTTCTGGAGGCCAAGTTTTTGTTTTTGCTTTGTTTCCAATTGAGTCATTTAAATATATCTAATTTTCTTATACCTCCATTTTTTTCTATGACTTACTTTAAAAACGTTTTTAACAAGAATTGAGCAGCAATAGCTAAAAGGGCACCTTCTCTGTTTACCACCATGCCACAAAACTTTTCTAACCCCATTAATCCTTACACTTTCCCTTTTCCACACTCCAGCTAATTTAGGTTTTATAGTATTTTAAGAAGTGGATCAACTTCATTACCCTTGTGTAAAATACAGAGAAACTGAGGCTTAGTGAGCTAAGTAATTTTTACTACAGCAAGCAATCAATTGGAGGCAAAGCAATTAATTCATATTTTATAAAGTTTATTTCCTATTAGGGATCATTAATATTAACGATTTAATATTTTCTCCTCACTGATCAATAACGATAATACTCTGAAGTTATACTTAGGCAAAAGAAAAGTGCAAGTATCTCTCCCCCCTCCCTCCATTTTCAGAATTGAGTAAAATTATCCTGCTGCCCTACAACTTGTATTCAGCACAAATCAGGAAACCAGGAATCTGCCTGCCTCCCTCAATTGGGCATTCCTACTTCATTTCTTTGTGAAAAAATGATATTTTCCCCTTTAAAACTTCCGTTTTAACCTCTTTAAGGCCCCAGGTGGCAACTGGTTTGCCACACATAATTGGTTTTGAAAATGAACCAATGGGAGAAAGTTAAAAGACTAATCCTCAGTGATATGTATTTTAATTTAGTCTTCTAGGGATTAACTCAATAAATGAACAGTATGTCTTTTTATAATAATAGCTACCATCATAAAGATTACTAGCTTGGATATCTTATTTCCAGATCACTGGTATTCCCATTTCTTTTCAATATAGGCAGAAAACTCCATGCAAATATGTGACTACACCCTGGAATCATACTAATTGTTTCTTAAAGCCTTCAAAAAATTTACCTCTTTCCCACAACTGATATCCTATTTTTTGATCCCCTTTTGCTGATCAACATTGGTAGCATCTATCGAACTAGCAATGATTTAAAAGTAACAACTTAACTCAATGTTAGAAAGCCTGCAGCAAAACAAACACTCTCATATACTGGCAATGAGAATATAAATTGTCATTCATTTTTCTGGAGAACAAATTAGCTGTTATGCTTATATAATAACATTTAAAAATTAATTATCTCAGAAAATGCAGTCAGACCCATGCACACAGATGTTATTTTAACATTATTCCTAATAACAAAACTAAAAGATATCAAAAAATACAGCAAGGGTTATGTCAGTTACAGTGTGTCTCTATGATGGAGCAAGATTCTATCTTAATGCAAAATTTCAGGCAAAAACAAAAATTCAAACCTTTTGACCCAGTATATCTTAAGAAAATAATCCAGCCAGGTGTGGTGGCTCATGCCTGTAATCCCAGCACTTTGGGAGGCCGAGGTGGGCAGATCACAAGGTCAGGAGTTTGAGACCAGCCTGGCCAACATAGTGAAACCTTGTCTCTACTAAAAAATACAAAAATTAGCTGGGCATGGTGACGGGTGCCTGTAATTCCAGCTATTCAGGAGGCTGAGGCAGAAGAATCGCTTGGACCTGGGAAGTGGAGGTTGCAGTGAGCTGAGATCACACCACTGCACTCCAGCCTGGTCAACAAGAGTAAAACTCTGTCAAAGAAAGAAAAGAAAGAAAAGAAAGGAAGAAAGGAAAGAAGGAAGGAAGGAAAAGAGGAGAAAATAATCCCAAATGTAACTAAAGATGTATGCACTATTGCACTATTATGTCCATTGCAACAATACTTATACTATCAAAGTTGAAAATAATGTAAATGTCCAATAATAGATTGTTAAATAAATTATGGCATACCCATATGGTGGAATATTATACCATCATTAACAATTAAGGGAGGAGCTTCAAGATGGCTGATTAGAAGCATTTCATGTCCTCTTCCTCCACTTAGAAGAACAAAAATAGTGTATGGACAGTCACACTTAAAATACATTATCCAAGAGAGAAAACTGGAATTCAACAGAGAAATGACAAGAAACATCAAAAGTGGAGAAAAGAGAGGGAGAGAAGCAGGTTGCCTGACCAGGATTGAGTGGCAGCTGGGAGTGACTTTCCAATTCAGGGAAAGGATAAATGAGAGAATTCCAGTGACCCATATCCCCACTGTGGA